TGCTGAAAGATGTTAGCATGGAAAGCATGCCAGTTGCTCAAAGTAGGTGACAATTTCCCAAAATGTAAATGTGCAAGTGTTTGGACATTATTGTTCTTACTGTTTATATGGTGCATAAGTAATGTCTGACATGTTTGGTTTGCTCTGTCAATGCCCGATCTATCAGTTAAAACCTACCCACAGCCTCTTGAACAGAGAGAAATTGTGTTTGTTTCCTGGTCATGTGGCAAAAGCTGCCCTATCTTCTGTGTGTTGTAATGTTACTTTTTTTGTTTTTGTTTTTTGTTTTTTTCTTGGATCAACTGGGTTGGATATTGCTTTGACATCTGGGAGTTGAGCTATCTTCTACCTTTATGCATTTTCAACTTTTAGTTGCTATGCATTTATCAGCAAAGGCCATCTTATCTATTCTCTCATATTCATAATGTTCTAAAAAATTGGACATATTTGTCTGTGTGTCTGCTTAGCCTTTTGGTGTTGCCATTTCCTAGTGTTGCAACTAACCTACCTCTCCTGTAAAATATAGGGTTCAGCATTGATGGAGGATATTGTATCTGTTGCAATGCTTTCTCGGAGGTTGCTTCTTGAAGAACCAGAAATGGTATGTATGAACTTCTGTTTGTTCAAACCTTTTTAGTAAATATTGTTAGAAGGAACAAGTTAGTGCAGCCTTTGAAATTGTAAATCATACTTTATACTTCAAATGGTGTCCTGATTTTTCTGTACTCGAGAAAAGCAAACTAAACATTCAATTTCGCATGGTCTCCTCCTTTGACTTATTGTTAACACTAGGAATTTTTGCATTTTCTGCATGTGAAATAGCATATTACCCATTTGCTTTTTTCTGCAGGCAGTGCAATCTGTCACAGACAGAGATCAGATAGAAACATATATTGCACTATCCATTAAGAATGCATTCACAAGGGTAAGTGAGCTTAGATGATTGTAGTAGATTTCGTGGCTGTCACTATATGTTAGCGTATTTTATGTGTTTGTTAGCTGATCATTTGTTAAGTTGATGTTAAATTGTTTTTTGTAAATTTTTTATATTTATAGTTAATAATTTTGCTGGCAGACAAGTGTATTTAGGTTTTAATAGTTAAAGATAGTTTCATAAGTCTTTTGAATTTTTTGGACATGGGTTGTATTATGGATGTGGTATTTCATACTTCAAAGTTTTGGAACATATGTATTTGCTGATTGATGTAGAATCAACTGAGCAACAAAACTATATAAGCGTAATTGGTTTTGCTGTTATGTATGAAAAAGAGATGTGATGACTTTAAATCCATAACTCTGTGTTCAAGTCGAGGTCTGTTTTGCACCCTCCTTCGCATGTATTCTTCTAGCGTTGCTCCCATGACATCCAAAATTTATACAAAAAATGGAAGCATAACGGCCGTAACGGTGCTGTAATGGCAGTTACATCTGTGAATTTTTGTGATACCGCTATAGCGGCTGTAATGGGCGGTGGTAACCACTAAAATGATTACATAACGGCATTACGTAATAGTTACGGCCACTTTTTAAAACCATGCAGTAACTAGGAGGTAGTTGCATTTTGATGTGGTGGTCAGGCAGTTTTGTTCCTGGAGCTAACCTTATTGGCTATTTAGGCCTTTGATCTGAAGTGATAAGATCAACAATGATTGATTGACTATTTGTGGCGGTGGACGAAATCCTATCACTATGTTTGGTTTCGTTTTTTTGAGTTATTTTTTGAAAAAGTGAATTGAAAACTTTGTTTTGAAAATGGATAGATGTTTGGTTTTCAAAAAAATACACTATGCAATTTCAAATTTCCCTCCAAAAGTTGAGAGAGAGGGCTAGACACATTGACCAATTAAAAAAAACAAAAAATTGTCACATTCTGAAAAAGATTTGAAAAGTTGTCAAATTTGTCACATTCCAAAAATTTGTCAAATTTCCCTCCAAAGTTGTACCAAGATTTTGAAAACTTTATTCCATTTTCAAAATAACCAAACAAAAACTTCAAAATTTTCAAAAAAATGGGTTTAGATAAATGGAACCAAACATGATGATTGGTTGTCCAAGTCAGTGAGCGTAAGGAGTATGGGCTGTCTTTGGGTTGGTGGCCAGAGTGGGGATTCTTCAGCCTACTCAGATTCTTCATGGTATTACATCCTATCCTATGTAAGAAAAGCAAGTGGTGTGGGGGTTGGGTGGTTGGGATATAAATAAATTAAAGAAAGATGTAGTGGGATCTGACTGGCTAGCTTGGACAATCTAAACAGAAAACTGTGATTGGTCATGATAGACGGTTGGTGATAATGTAAAAATATAGGAATGAAGGTCAAATAAGTAATTCCAAGTGAGTTATAGAGGACTAGAAAACTATGGATGATCGCAGTTAGCGGGCACGGGATCATCAGAGGTGGAAGAGGGGAGAGTTGAGGCACTCTTAGAAGAGAGAGGGTGGCTGTGGAGGTCTTCTATATCGGAGAAAGTTGTATATGGAGGTGTGTTGATGGCCTAATTCGTTGCTTGGGGTAGACCTCCTCATATAGAGAGGGATCTCCCTACAGTATCAATGTAACAATCGGTCAATCCTGACAATATCACATGCACAGTCCATGCGCCATGGTACAAATGTTGGGTGTGTGACACATTGCAGACTACAAGTCGCAGGTTGTAGGTGTGATACATCACTTGTCTTGGTGAAATCACTCCCATCTAAGACTGGTCAGGTGTCCCTAAGCAGGGACCTTGACAATCCCTCAACTCTAGCTTCAAAGTCCCAAGTTGTCATGACCCCATCCCACACCCCATACTGAAATGGAGTTGTGACCGGTAGTAATAGACCACCAAAGGCCTAACTAAATAAACATGTAGTACTCCTGAAAACTTTGGAGTACAATTGCTTTGGATAGCAGAAGCGATTAAATTCCTTAACCTATTTGTTCCACAACATCCATTTAGAGCAATTACATAAAGTAAATGAAATAAAACATACTTTATTTTTTATTATACCTTTCCAAACTCAAACACAAGGAGTACATATTTTTACAAGAGAAGAACGGTGTGTTCTTTCCAAAGCTGAATGTGTACAGAGCTTTCAAACTTCAGGTCTTTATCCAACAATTAGGCATACAAACTTTCTTGTCTATTCACATACAATTAGCTTCAAATATGAAGCTTTCATGCTCTATTATCATCACCAACATATGTAGGGAAGAGGGTGAGCCAAAGCCCTATGAACAATGATATATCAAAGCTATTTTGAGACAAGGATATCTCCATTCAAATGATAAAAATGACCCACAAATTAATTTTGACATATGCCATATAAGAAGTGCTAGAGACCGACAATTTTAGATCCACAAATTTGGCCACAACGATGTGGCAGGGGATGGGCCCTATATCATTAGGTATATAACAAATCAAAAGTGAACACCTATCATACCATATCATTGTGGTTCAAAGTATTGGAGTTTTTGTGAGAGTATAAAACATTTTCCTATGTTATACGTTAGTTCTTATATAAGGACATCATTACACTGTCTAATTACAAACATGTTGCCTTCATAGTAAGAGATATTGGTCCAAATCTCACCAATCATAAAATTATATAAAAATATATTATTTCTTTACCATTCAAAAAAGTGCTAGAAATTCTAAATAGAGTTGAATTAGAAGAGGGAGTAAGTCAGAATCCTGTATTTTAAAACATAAAACACTTTAAAAGGTGTGTATGTTTATTGTTCAAAAAAGGAAAAAAACAATTGTGGATATGTTGAGTTCATATTAAACCATGCTATTTCACCAAAATAATATAGAATTCATGGGTGCAAGTTACTTTAGGTTTGATTGAATTTGATTCGATCTTATTAAACTCTCTAATCACCAAAATAATAATAAATCAAGCATAGGAATTGGTTTCTTTTATACTAAACACTCTTGACATTTTGAACAAAAAGAGAGTTATAAAAGGGATTGAAATATGTTGGACCCGATAGTTTAAAAATCGCATGAATCGTAAAACGCGATTCTCCATTGATTCTATCCCAAAATAGATTCACTTGTTAATTCACATCGATCTATGATTGAATTATGGATCGAGTAGTGAATCATGAATCGTAAAGATTTTGATAACAGAGCATAAATCAGTTTCATTAAATCAACAAATTGTGTCTTGGGGAGGATGTAGCTATTCAATTCAACAAGGCAACTAGTTGTAGTTTTTTGTAAGATTAAACTATTTTTTTTAGCAAGTCTCCTAAGGTAACAACAAATTCCTATTTAAACTTGCATATTACTGAAGTTTAAAAACTATAGTATTTATAAACTAACTACGGAATTACCCACCCAGAAATGACCAAAAAGAATAAATTTACTATATTATTGTTTGTTGTGCAGCTTTTCAGAGTCAATACATTATAAAGAGTGTCTGTAAATATTTGTTTGGCTTGGTTTGTGGGTTGAATCTAATGTAATTACATAATTGATCTCGACTTCTTTTTACAGACCTTACAGGAGGTTGAGACAACAGCTGATGCAAGAAATGAACATCCCCTGGCATTACTTGCTGAACAGACCAAGAACCTTTTAAAGAAAGACGATACCATGTTCTTGCCAATCTTATCTCAGAGGCATCCACAAGCGACTGTTGTTTCAGCATCTCTTCTCCACAAACTTTATGGGAACAAGTTGGTAAGCTTATGCTTGGTTGGGTGGTCATCTAAGAAGCACAGACACTTCTAAAAAGGTGGCGCATCTATGTTGGACACCAACACACGTTGGATACTTCCCAACAGATGTCTGACACAAGTCAAAACGTGTCCTATTTTTTCAAAAGTTTTTTAAACCTGGACACTCTTTGGATACTTGGAGGACACACGTGAAACTAAGGTCTCGTTTGGCATGCAACTGTTTTAGCCTAAAAGTCAAAAAGTTACTAAAAAAATCAAAAAGCTTATAACATATACAAAAAAAGTCGAAGATTTTATTTTCTCTCTACTTTTTGCATATATTTTCGTAAAAAATCAAAAAATCATTCCAAACATACTAGTTTTTTTATCTCATATTTTAGCTAAAAAGCTAAAAAATTACTAAAAAAGTATGCTCCCAAACAAGGCCTAATTATAAGTTTAAACTAAAATAACTTCGGATACAATAATATAATATATTGCATTTTTATTTATTTATTATTATCTTTGAAAGTTATATTCTTATATATGACATAATTAATAAACCAAACCAAACCAAACAAAGCCTTAAGTCCCACCAAATGGGGTCGGCATATGACACATAATTAGTATATGAAATTATATGTTTCGTGTGTGTCCCCCACGTGTTGTGTCCTGTATTTTTTAAAAATTGACGTGTTGGCGTGTCCGTGTCGTATCTACGCCGTGTCTTGTGTTTGTGTCCATACTTTTTAGGTTGGCATCAACTTGCACTCTGATTTTTTAAACGGTATGTCTGAAACTCTTATTTGGAAGTGTGGGAGCTTAATTAAACATTATCTGTTCAGAAACCTTTCATTGATGGTGCCGAACATCTTACTGAGGATGTTGTATCAGTATTTCCAGCAGCTGATAGCCTTGAGCAGTATGTAATGGCACTCATTATGTCTGTCTGTGAAGATGCAACTGCAGAGGTTTACTTCAGGAAACTAACTTTATACAAGGTGAGAGAGCTGACTTCAAATATGCTCTTTATAGACGTTTTTTGTTTTGACATAGGAAAGTAAATATTTTCCTAATTCTAGATAATGGAGAGGCAATTGTTTGTTAGAGGGGAAAAAGAAAATAAAATATCAACTCTACCGGGCCGAATCTTTTGAGACAACAAATATAATTAAAATGCAACCTGTCATTTTAAAAAAAATGTATTTTAGTGTTTTGAGTGGTTCCTATAGGTTAAACTCTCCCAACTCCTTACATCCTGTTAAGGCGTTCACATAGTCAGGAACATGATTTAAAATATAATGGAATTCTCCATTACTGTCTTCAGTTCAATGATCGACTTATTTTTAAGTATCATTTTGGCATGAAGTATTGGCAGTTAGTTTGAATGTTTGGTGTAATAATTGTTAATGTACAATTCAGAATATTGTGTTTTCATATTTTCCATTTTCCTTGGGTTATTTAGTGAGCACTCTAGGTTTCTTAGTTAGATCTTTATGTAAACCTATATATATATATATATAGGCTACCTTTTGTAATAGTTAGGATCAATCTTAATACAATATTATTATTTCCCCATAACTGTGACATGGTATTAGAGCCATAGTGATTCTCTTGTGGATTTCACTTCTTCGGTGGGTGGCTTCTTCGCCATGGCAGCCCATTGGACCGTCTCATCCTGTCACCTCTTTTGCCACTCTCCAACTTTACCATTGCAACTATATTTTCGGTTTCATCCAGTTCCCCCAAATCCTTTGGTCTCTGAGATAGAGAGGACATTCACATTCGTGAAATCCAGTACCTTGTCGTTGGGGCTTGACATTAAGTGGTGGCCCAACAATTGCAATCATGAGAACCTATTCACCACCTTGCAACTTTGTGTTGGCTGCCACTGCCTTAACTTCCACCCGAACTGTCATGACCCCATCCCACCCCAAGCAGGATAGTATAGTGACCGACTAGTAATCCTTGACTATCAAAGTCCTAGCTAGACAAAATAAGAAATGGACTAGTAGTTCATTGGGGCAAATGAGTGGAAGCATTATATTCATTAGTTAAATAAGTCCATTAAGAGCAAGTGGACAAGTATATGAAATGAAACACACAATTGTTCATTAACTTCTTAAAATATTACGAAGTGTACATAGCCTACAAAAAGAGGTACAACATCACAAGCTGGACTATTTTTCTTACAAGACTAGTGTGTACATGGCTTTCTTCAACTCCTACAATTACATTACAAGCACACAAGATTACATATATGGAACTCTAACTATGATACAATAGAAAAACTTCACAAAACATGATCTCTTCTCATAATTGCTCTTCTTCTTCTTCACCTACACACATAGGGGAGAGGGGTGCGCGTGCGCCATTTGTCCACTGAATAGTATTACAGTAAAGTGATGAATGAATGAATATCAACAGGTTTTGTAAAACAATAAGTACCATATCATAGTTCAAGAGATTTCAAAGCATTTCCTTATCAAGAGTTTCATTCTAAAACAAGGCATTTCAAAACGTAATAGCAATGTATATCCATTGGAGCAAGACAAGACAAGGGAGTAACTGGCCTGGGTACCGATTAGGCAAGCCCATCTATAGGTCGCAAGTGAGATATCTAATAGCGCACTACTAGCATGCTTAACCAATCCAATGATGCTATCTTAATACATTGATACAAGAACATAGGATATTCATTCATATTGAAGCGTTGGCAAATAATTTGAAACATGACACAAGTTTGAGTTCTAAAACAAGATTTTAAACATAACTTCACAATAATACTACTCACAATGGCTCTTGGTACTGGAATGGTCCGCAAGATTATAACCTACAAAAGTACATTGCAAACATTTGATGAAGTGTCAATAAAGGTGATGCAATGCTACATTTCGAATCTAGTTCGAGTGTTCTATGCTAAATTTATCGCTTTTCTTTTAACTACATCTTTTATGTCCAATTCTAAGTCATCTTTAAGTTAATTTCAAGTTCCAAGTGCTCACATTTAGGTTTGACATGTCGCAGAAACATAAAGGAAGCTAGATGCTCACATGTGGCTGCAGGGGCCCACATGTGGATTTTAGTTGCCTCTGTGATGCAGAGTATAAGAAGCTCAAGGAAGATTAAATTCAAAAAAGTGATGATACTTGGACATTGGCATGATTTCATATAGGAATTGATAAAAATCTTCTATAAATATGTTTCCAGTTTTATTAGTCTTATTTTATTATTATTTTTATGTTTTCTAGGATTTTTAAGGTTAGGGGTATTTTAGTAACTTTATATTTGCTGACATGGGTTGCCCATGGGTCGTCTTGTGGGTCAAGCTACTTAATTAATCTTTATTTTGTTTCTTATTTGGTCTTAAATTAGTTTTAGAAGTCAAAAATATTAATAATTTTCTTTTTTTGTTATAGTTGGTTTATGAAGTCTCCTAGTTTTATATAAAGCCATGTAATGCTTATAATTCAATAGAGTTGATATTTTAAAGAATTTTAAGAGCTTTTGAAGTTTTTTTATGGATTGTGTGATGCAATCAAACTCTAGGTGTGATGTCTATGGAATCAAGGTGCGATGCCTAGGCCCATCTTCTTCTTTTCCTTTATTTCTTCCTTAAATTTCAGCACTTCCACAGCCTAATTACTGTTCACGGGTACTGTTCACAGCACCCAGAACAGTCCCAAAAACCATTCTTCCTTCTTGTTGCATTAAGCCCTGAACCTAATTCTTCCATACACTAATAGAAGCCCTAGATTTCCCATTACTTTTCATCTTGAAACCACAACAAAAAAATCACAGAAATTCAGCATTACAGCTCTCTCCTTACTGTCCCTAATCGTCCTGCATCACTCTGTCATGCCTTGGGCCGCACATGCGGGACCCAGGCTACATGTGCGGTGGCCAGGTGCTGCATGTGCAGATCTGTGCAGGTGATTTTGCTTGAAGCTGTTTCGAAGTCCAAACTTGTGTGTGACCTATTTCCTTCAACTGAAGGCACAAAAACATGAAATTTTACACTACCAAGGGCACAAAATTCAGATGAAACTCATGGAATAAGATTTGTATGTAAAAGCTTTAGATTTTATCTTTCAAGGTCATGAATGACAACCAATTTCTTCCTACCCTAGCTTCTTTTCATCATTCTTTCATTTCTTTCATTAAATCTTCGTTCAAACTCATACCTAACATGGATTCTGTTAGTTGTGATGATATCTACATGAAATAGAAGAGGAAAACCTTACCGTTTTGTGGTTTTAGATTAGTTTTTGAGCAAATAACTGAGCTCTCTTCTCTTCCTCATCCTTCTCTTTCTTCTTCTTTCTTTCTCCTTTCTCTTCTCTTCTGCTCCTCTATTTCCAGCGGAGTTTTCTATCCCCTCTCCTTTATATTTGTGTTTTATATCTATAGGAGACACTTGTCTCCAACCTAAAGCTCCTGTCCTCCTAAGTAGGATGCGTAATCCTTGAGGTGCTAGCTTCACCTCTTAGCATGCTTCATCTATTTGCTTGACTTGCTTGCTTGCTTCATCTTTTTCCTAACCTCCGTCATTAGCTTAGTTAATCAAGGTTAATCTCTAATCTTAATTAAGCGAATGAATCTTGCTAGAGCTAATTAATCCTACCTAGTTATTGCTAATCTTTTAAGTTTTGGTACATCACATGGAAAGGTTCTACTCATTAGTCCCAAGTCATTAAGCATCTCGATTAGGGTTTAGGATATCTTATGGCATTTCAAATTTTAAGCTAAAACAATTCCCCTAACTACTAGTGTTCTAAACCGAAAAAGACCATTGAGATCATACCACCAAGCCAAACCAATATGTATTGGGATGGTTCGATTCGGTTAGTTTAATCAGTTGGGTAGAAAAGAACAAACTTTATAAATGTGTAAAATCTATGAACACAGTGAAAGGGATGTCAAACCTTTCATCGAAGGCAACGGTTATACACGTATATGGCCGGTCAATAACTGGCCACAATATTGTCTCCAATGATTTGATTCTGTTTGACGCACAGTGTTGATCATAGGAACCATTGCTTTCAATGTTGATTTCGTGTTGTTGGAGAGAGAGAGAGAGAGAGCAGGTTAGGAAAGGGAATAGTGGGTTTATGTGTTGTTTTATCGAAGATTTGTTGGGTTCGTGAAAAGTCAAAGGCGGTTGATTTGATGTTATTGATGGAGCAAAGAAATAAAGAGAGTAGGGGTTGGTGGACCTGGTGACAGTGGATCTGGTGATCTGGGTTCACCAAGAGTTGAAGGGACTATGACTCTACCTAACCCTTCTTTACTTTACCAAGTACATTTCTATGTAAACATTAAGAAAATAGTAATAGTATTCTAACATTTGAATTGCCACTGCACCCCAAAAAACAAATTCATGTGTAATGTCTTTAAATCTGTAGAATACAAAAACAAGATGGGACAATTGGCCCTTAATCGAACTTCACGTCTTCCATAAAAGTTTCTCACATTATAATCCGGTTACTTTCTGTCGGTTTCAGTGTGAATTTTTTTGAAACCTTTTAACACTGATTTTTTAGAAAGACAAAATCCGCACATCGTTTTGTTTGCCAAAACTGATTGCAATTGATATTTTAGGTTGGTTTCAGTCGGGTGATTCAGTCCAATTGGTTTTTCTTACACCCCTAATGAAGACACATTGAACATCCTTAGGATCCAACTTCCCATGAGGATGTTTGGGAGCATGAACAAAAAACACAACCAAAAAACATAGGTGGAATAGATGAAACAAAGAGAGACATGAGCAGAAGCTCTAAAGGAGTCTTGAATTCAAGAACACTAGAGGACATGAGGTTGATAAGATAGGCCGTAGTAAGAACAATCTCGTTCCATTTAAGACTCTTTTAGCGCATAGGTACGCACGTGAGGACATGCTTTTGTATTCTTTCCTCTCGGATATTTGCATCACTATGTACAAGACAAGGTTGCACGCGAGGGAGGATGTTAAATAACTTGATATATGTTCTTGGGCCTATTT